CTGTTCCCTCTAGTCCCTTGCTCTATACCTACCCTCTGTGGTTTTATGTGTTTTGTCCTGGTTATCATTGATGTATTAGCTAATATCCACATGTAAGCGAATACATACCATGTATTCTGAGTACATACCGTTTGTCTTCTGAGACAGTGCCTCTCAAATCAACCCGGAGCTCACCAGTTTGGCTAGGCTGGAGGGCCAGTGAGCTCCAGAGACCTGCCTGTGCCCCCTTCTCCAGCACTGGGACTACAGGTGTGTGCTGCTGTGTCTGGCTTCTCATGTGGATTCTGGGAATTCAAACTTAGGTCCTCATGCTTGCGTGGTAAATTAATTTGCAGAGCGGGTCTTCCCCCCAGCCTGGGGGAGCTTTGGTCTGTGTTATGGTAGCTCCTTCCTAAAGCTTCAGTCACTGTCATTCACACTTGCTCTGGGGAGGGCTGACAGCCTCCTGTCCCCAGGGCTGGCCTAATCCCCCCCCCCCTTTTTTTTTTAAAGATTTATTTATTATGTGTACAGTATTCTGCCTGCATGTGTCCCTGCAAGCCATAAGAGGGCACCAGATCTCATTACAAGTGGTTGTGAGCCACCATATGGTTGCTGGGAGTTGAACTCAGGACCTCTGGAAGAGCAGGTGGTGCTCTTAACCTCTGAGCCATCTCTCCAGTCCATAATCCCCTTTTGACTGGTCTTTCTCCTCCTAGTCTCAGGCCAAGCAGGACTCCTGGCCAATTAGGCCTTCTGCCTGTTACTCCCAGGCACTGACCATGGTCCCCAGAACCCCCATTGCTCTGGCAGACTTCAAAGTCTCTTCCTCTTGGAGTGGCTGATGTTGAATCAGTTCCCGAGACTCTAGGGTAAGAAGCATGAGACATGCTGACATCCTTTCCAGATACCCCTGCCATAGAGGCTGGAGGAGCTTGGCTCTGAGGACACACGTAGAAGCTGTTTTTTGCCACACACAATCAGCCAGGATCCCACAAGGCCCGCTGGGACAAGGAGAAAACAGTATGTGCCCTTCACATCTGTAGAAAGTGCCTCAGAGCTTCTTTCCAGGGAATTCTTTCTTTGGTTTGTTTTTGTAACTTTATTAGGACTTAGAAACTTTTTTATTTAGCAATAAGGCATCCTCAGGGAGGGCTGGGAAGCAAGTCGTGAGAGTGTTGACAGGATTAAACAGAATTGAGAAAAGTCAGAAGAGAAAGGATTTTGTATGGAAGGAAAGCCTCTTAACATGGATGCCACAAGAAGTTGTGCAGGACGCTCCCTGCACAAAGGCCCTCGGGAGAGGACTCGGGAGAGGGCTGTGCAGGCCTCATGCCTTGGTGCTGAGATATGTCTATCAGGGAAAGAGGGAATTCTTTCTTAGTTCAGTCAGCAGGCTGTACACTAACCCTTGTTAAGGCAGACCTTGTGAAGACTTACTTTTAATTTTTAGTGTGAGTGTATGTGTATGTGTCCATGTGCAGATGTGAGTGCCTGTGAAGTCCCGAAGAGGGTGCTGGAACCCTTGGAGCTGGAGCCCCAGGCCGCTCTAAACCTCCCCAGACAAGTGCTGGAAACCAGACTCAGATGCTGAGGTATCTCTCCAGCCCCAGGAAGACCTTCTAAGAGTCATATTTTATTGCTGTGGAGTTGCTCACCCCAGGTCACATGGCTAGGGAATGGCAGGGCCAGATCCAAATACTGGTAGTCTGGCCCAAAGGTCCTGGCCTAACCACCACACCATACTGCCTTATGGCGTTGCCCACGCTTATATGGGTTGGGCAGCATATTAGTTGTGTTGTATTGCTGTGACCAAATACATGATATGACTGCTTAAGGGAAGAGAGGCTTATTTTGGTCCATGTTTTAGAGAGTTTCAGCCCATCATGGCAGGAAATGCATGGCAGAGCAGTTCAAGTTCCACAACAACTGGAATATATGGGGGAGGCTGTTCATATCATCTTGGATCAGCAAGCCAGGAACTAAGGATGGGTCTAACCATAAAGTCTCGCCCGACTGTCCTACTTCTGTCTGCTAGGTTCCACAGCCTCCCCAAACTGTACAACCATCTGGAAATCAAAACATGAGCCTATTGCCACAATCTAGACCCACGCCATAGCAGGGATAGATGGACGTTATCTCGAGAGTGTGTAGGACTATGCACTTTCAGGAAGGACTGCAAGCACCATGGTCCAGGGGAAGGGATCCATTCTGTGTGGCTAAGGGTCTGGACAGCCATGGCCCTTGCTGACCCATGTCTTGAGGCACTGTGAAGAACACCCATGCTGGCATAGCACTGTACGCACTCCCTAACCCTGACATCATATCTGCCTTATACGAGTGTGTCAAGATCCTGACCCTCGGGGATGGAGAGATGGCTCAGCAGTTAAGAGCTGCTCTTCCAGAGGTCCTGAGTTCAATTCCCAGCAACCACATGGTGGCTCACAACCATCTGTAATAGGATCTGACACCCTCTTCAGAATAAAAAAAAAATCCCAACCCTCCAGTGAACAAGGTCTTCTTGCCACAATCTGGGGACACTGACTTTGTCACATGTTTTGTTGGGCATGGGATGTTGAAATTGAAGCAAGGTCCCTGGCTCCAAGGAGAGATAAGGACTTAGGTCGTGGGCTAGAGAGTTTGGTTGGTAAAGTGCTTGCCAAGCAAGCATGAGGACCTGCATTTTCTGGCCAGACAGTCTAGTCAATTGGTGAAAAATCCTATCTTAAAAGGTAAGGTACAAAGAGGCTAGAGAAATGGCTAGAGAGTACTTGCTGCTTTTGCAAAGTACCTGAATCAGATCCCAGCACCCACACTGGACAGCTCATAACTGCCTGTAACTCCATTTCCAGGGTATTGGGTGCTGTCTTCTGGCCTCTGCTGGCACTGGTATGTATGCTGTGCACATAAATTCATGCAGGTGTGTACATGTGTATACACACACACATAAATAAATTTTAAAGATATATAAGGTGGAGTGATGGCGCAGTGGTTAAGAACACTGATTTGTCTTCCAAAGGACTGGGATTCAATTTCTAGCACCCACATGACAGCTCAAAACTGTAACTCCAGTTCCAGGGGATCCCACGTCCTCTTCTGGCCTCCATGGGTTCTACATGCACATGATGCACAGACATGCATGCAGGCAAAATACTCATACACATAAAATGTGATAAATAAAATATGAAAAAAAGAAAGAAAAGGTGGAGGATGGTTGAGAAAGGTGGAAGATGATTGAGGAAAACACCTGATGTTGATCTCTGGTCTCCATACACACACAAACACATGTATACCATCATGCATACATGCACACACATATACTCATATACTACTACTACTACTACTACTACTACTACTACTACTACTACTACACCACACACACACACACACACACACACACACACACACACACACACATACACACCAAGTGAATGGCCCTTGAGGAACAACAGCTGAGGTGTCCTCTGGCCTCCACATGGATGAACATCCTTGCCTTCATGCACATCTGCACACATACACTCAAGTTAGGGAATAGTAAAATGCAAACTGCTAAGACTCAATCTTTTCCTATCCTGGACTTGGGGTCTGTTTTCCATAAGAACCCTCATTGTACAGCAGCTACCTACTTTTCCCACTTTTCTGTGGATGGGGAAGAAGTTGTTTTTGTGAGCATTTACGATGTGTCAGGTGCTCCTGTGACCTGCCTCATTCCACCCTTACCACTTGCTGTGAGAAGACCTTGCTCCTGTTCACAGCTGACAGCACCCAGCAAAGGGAGGCAACCGACCTTCTGGCCAAGAGTCTCTGTGCTCTTCCCATGGCCCCACCCTGCTTCCTCTGTTCCTCTGGGGACAGGGACCCATGCTGCTTTGGGAGCTCAGAAGAGCTGGAACACTTCTCTGCAGAGGATCTTCTCGTCAGGGTATCGGCAGTCAAGGACTTACACTGTCCTCTGGGTTACAGAGCATCCATACTCCATGAAGAGAATGGGCGGACCAGGGGCTGGTGGCCTGGATGGAGATGAAAAGACCTTGAATGTAGTGTCCCCGCCCATGCCCTCTGGGCTGACAGCTATTTCCTCCTTCAGCACACTCCTCTCCTGTCACTTGCCTGGTGCCTAGTCTTGCTGCTTTTGGGAGCTGCCAGACTCCCTGGCTCAAGCCTGTGCTCACTCTAGGTAAGGAGTCAATCCCAGGGGCCGGGCAGCCTTGGTGCCCTCTCAGGACTAGACAGAGGGCTGCTCCTAGCTAGGATGACAGGGGATGAGCTTAAGAGTCTGGGGAGGGCTGATACCCAGAAGGAATGCTAGCTAGATGGTAGACACAATGGTGAGCTGTCCAGTCATAGCCACCATCCAGACAATCTCAGGTGTGGGGACAGGATCACACAATAAGCTTAGAGAAACTGACAAGTCACCCAGCTGGAAGCTGAGGAACTGGAATCTAAGCTCAAGGCTTTGCAAGCTGGGATTCCCACTACAGCAGGATCCTGGCTGCTGGGCACTCCAAGATCCTGGGTCTTGAAGATGTCTCCATGCAGCCCGAGGGATCAGACTGGGTGGTTCCCAAGAGTGCGGCCACAGCATCCTCTGAGCATCCCACATGATGTGGACACTGCAGCTGACAGGGACTGTCTCAGGGCAGAGAGAGTGGTTCACACCTGCCTGCTGGGAGGAGAGCTGCTGTGCCTCTCTGAACCTCAGTTTCCCCTTCTGAAAAGCTACTCTCAGTGGATTAATATGAGTGTAACTGCTCCGCAGATGCCAAAGCTTAGAAAGCAGGATCAGGAAGAATTCAGAGGTCGCAGGTCTGCCTGCCCACTGACCTACCTTCAGGAGGCATTCTGTCAGGGAAATTCTAGCTTGGTGTCCCAGAACCCCACCCTAGGTGGTCCCTGGAACGGAGTAGATTTTTCCATTCTGGCCACTCTTTCTGTTGGGAAGAGGAGTTCTGAAGTCCCTGTCACCCCCCTCCTCTTTCCTTCTCTTCCTCTATCATCACTTGCAAAGCTGGAGAAATGGCGGGCTGAGGACTGAACAGTCCCTCTTCCATATGGCTGTGGTGGGTGGCTCAACCAGTACTTTAAACACTTGGGTCTCAGTTTTCTCATCTGAACAATGGGATGGAGAGAGTCCTGGCACATTCTTCCAGAACTGAGAAAAAGCATCGGTTAGAGTATCTACCACATTCCCTGGAGGGTCATGGGTGCTTGGCACAACCTGAGCTCCCACACCGTACTTTCATTTCCTCCCTGCTGCAGAGGGTGTGAAGTCCGATTCCCTCAGGCCTCCCTGACCTCAGCTTTATTACAGGGCCCTGGGGTTCTCCATGAGGCTGTGAGCATGCATAGAACCTGGCTTTTCCAGAGCACCTGAGTCATTGCTCAGTATGGCTACTGGCCCAGTGTGGTGAATGGGGATGGGCCCCTGGGGTAGACAGGACTGTCACTGCCCTCCCTGGGTCCCCAGTAACACCATGTGATAGTTCCTCCAGCCAGGTCTCACGCTTGTCTCTCTTATCTATTTCCTCTCCTTCCATCAGAGGAGAAGCCAGCTCCCCTTATCTCACTCAATCAGCACACCCAAGCAGTCACCTCTGAGACCCAGAGCGGCTCTCTAGGAAGAACTGCAGCAAGGTAAGGCCTGGAGTGCTGGGTGGTACAGACCCCCATCTCATATGAGGGGCCACACCCATCCCTCTGTGTTCTCAGGAACAGGGAAATGAGTCCTGCCTGGTCTGACCTTTGTGATCTTGGACAGGTTCTTAACATTAATCACAATGGTATTGATACAGTGCCTGCTTCATGCTAGTTTCCTTATGTGTGTGTATGTGTATGTATATGTATATGTGTGTGTGGAAGTCAGATGTCAACCTTGAGTGTTCCTTAGGAGCAGTCACCTTGAAAAGATTTGTTTTTATTATTTTAAAGTATGTGTGTGTGTGTGCATATGAATGCAGGTATATGTGTGTGTCTATATAAGTCAGATGTCAACCTTGAGTGATGTTGCTTAAGGAGCAGTCCACCTTAAAAATATTTTTTATTATTTTAAAGGGTGTATGTGTGTGTGTTTGGGGGTACGTGTGTGGATGCAGGTGCCTACAGAGGCCAGAGGAATTGGATCTCCTAGAATTAAGTTATAAAGGTAATTGTGAGCTGCCCAACACAGGTACTGGGAATCAAACACTGGTCTCCTGGAGAAGCAGTATGTGCTTTTCTGTGGAGAAATCTCTCCAGTCCCCTACCTTGTCTTTTTGAGTTAAGTTCTCTGGGACCTGGGTTTCATGGATGAGTTTAGGCTGACTGGTGAGTGAGGCCCTAGGATCCACCTGTCTTTACCTCTCCAGCACTGAGATTACAAGCATGTGCTACCATGCCCTATTTTATACCCAGGTGCTGGGATCAAACTCAGGGCCTCTTCTATTTTCCCACCCACCCAGCACCCCTTTGAATAGTTTTCCATGTTACACTTGGCTTACCCAAAACTGCATTGGGGGAGGAGGGCAGCTGGGATGTGAGTGCCTTGACTTGCTCAGCCTCATTGATCCCCAGTGTCCATCCTGGAGCATACTGGCAACTCTGAGATAAGTTCCTCTCTTGCCCAGGCTACAGACTTCTGGTTCCCCGGTGCCAGGCTCAACCCTCCTTTCTTCCACCTTGCCATGGCCAACGTCACTCTGAAGCCACTCTGTCCACTCTTAGAGGAGATGATCCAGCTTCCAAGCCACAGCAACTCTAGCATCCGCTATATTGACCACGTGTCGGTGCTGCTGCACGGGCTGGCTGCGCTGCTGGGTCTGGTGGAGAATGGACTCATCCTGTTTGTAGTGGGCTGTCGCATGCGCCAGACGGTGGTCACCACCTGGGTGCTGCACCTGGCTCTGTCTGACTTGCTAGCCGCCGCCTCCCTACCCTTCTTCACCTACTTCCTGGCGGTGGGCCACTCGTGGGAGCTGGGTACCACCTTCTGCAAGTTTCACTCCTCGGTCTTCTTTCTTAACATGTTTGCCAGCGGCTTCCTGCTCAGCGCCATCAGCCTGGACCGCTGTCTGCAGGTGGTGCGGCCAGTGTGGGCACAAAACCACCGCACGGTGGCGGTTGCGCACAGAGTCTGCCTGATGCTCTGGGCTCTGGCAGTGCTCAACACAGTACCCTACTTTGTGTTCAGGGACACCATCCCGAGGCTGGATGGCCGCATCATGTGCTATTACAACATGCTGCTCTTGAACCCAGGGCCCGACCGCGACGCCACGTGCGACTACCGCCAGAAGGCCCTGGCGGTGAGCAAGTTCTTGCTGGCCTTTGTGGTGCCTCTGGCCATTATCGCCTTGAGCCACGTGGCCGTGAGCCTGCAACTGCGCCACCGCGGCCGCCAGAGGACAGGTCGCTTCGTGCGCCTGGTGGCGGCCATCGTGGCGGCCTTCGTGCTGTGCTGGGGGCCCTACCATGTCTTCAGTTTGCTGGAGGCGCGAGCCCATGCTGTCACCACGCTACGGCAGCTCGCGTCACGCGGGCTGCCCTTCGTCACCAGTCTGGCTTTCTTCAATAGCGTGGTCAATCCGCTGCTTTACGTGCTCACCTGTCCGGACATGATGCACAAACTGCGGCGCTCGCTGCGTGCTGTGTTTGAAAGCGTGCTGGTGGAGGACAGTGACTTGAGTGGTGGGTCTGGCAGCCGCCGCCGCCGTGCCTCCTCCACTGCCACAACCTCCACCCTCCTGCTGGCTGGCCGCCTTCCCCGGCTGCATCCTGCACGTTTGATCAGCTGGATGCGGGGTGGTGGTGCAGAGCCCCAGCAGAGGGTCCCAGTGCAGGACCCAAAGCGAGGCTCACTGAACCACGTGCTGAGTTCCACCTCCGATTAGACCAGCACAGCGCGGATGGCATGCCAACACACCCCTGGTATCTAGCCATACCCCGTTGAAAATGTACATAGCCAATGCTAGGCCCAGGTCGTAGCTCTCCTGGGCAGAGTCTAGGTAACCAGCTTGAGGAGGATGACTGAATCTTCAGGAGCAAAGTGAATTGAAAGCAGTCTTCCCTAAACACTTTAATCTTGCAGTATCAAGCTGGGAGAGGATCAGCAAAGCACAGAAGTGGCCTTTGGAGGAGCTACCTGGTTCCTGACCGCTGGCCTCAAGGCTTTCATCACCCCCCACTCCCCGAGACAGGGTTTCTCTGTAGTTTTGGTGCCTGTCCTGGATCTCGCTCTGTAGACCAGGCTGGCCTCAAACTCACAGAGATCCGCCTGGCTCTGCCTCCCAAGTGCTGGGATTAAAGGGTGTGTCACCACCGCCCAGCAGCTTTTACACTTTTAAGAAGTGTAAGTACTTGAACTGCCTAGGGATCTTGCTAGGGTAACCGATGAGGGTGGGGATGAGATTTTGTACTTCTAATACCTCTCAGGCAGCTGGCCTAAGGACAACTGGAGTCACACAGGTTAATCTCACAACCTGCACCTCCTAAGGTGCTGCTTTGTGAATGGGGAGGAGATTCTGCCAATGGATAGTATATATGGGGGTACAGTGGGAGGAAAGGGTTGAGAAGCAGTTTCTAGCCCACCACCTTCACTTTAAACCCCCCAGTTGGCCTCTGAGACAGATGCTTTTATCACACAGGCTTGCTGCTTGTGTGGTACGTGTGTCAACTCCAGCTCAGGGCTCTTTACTGCCCAGTTTCAGAGCTGCTGCTGCCAGAGGCTGCACTCCAGCATTCAGCATCACAAGTTCAATTCTATCCAGCGAATATCCGCCAGCTACCCTCAGTATTCCAGCTGCCTCACAGGACAGGGCCCGGCAGCTATCACTTCCAACCCACAGGTAGGAGGGGCACCTGGCATCGACCACCACACTACATCTAATGTCTTCCCCACCATGGATGGACTGCAGGACAGCCGGCTGTGACTCATCTCTACATTCCAGGGGAAGGGGATGATGTCAGTAACTGGTGGATGTGAAGAGCAGAGATGAGACATTCTCAGGATCTCCTGAACCACTTAAGGCCAGGCTGGCTGTCAGTTCTCAGTGCCAAGCAGGCCTCAAGTCTGTGGCAGGTTCTTCTCAAACCGGAGAGGAAACTGTCACTCTTCACTCCCTCCTGCTCTACTCAGAGCGGCACACCATACCTGTCACACCATGCATTTTAATTGTTTATTATAAGAATGAAAGCCTAATGTGGCAGGGACTTGTGTCTTTCTGGAAGCCTAGGCTGTACTTGTGCAGACATCAATAAACACTTCTGTGAAAGACCAGGTGGGCACGGCTCAAGTCCTAAGGCTTCTACAGTCCATTGTGGGAAAAGGGTGCTAGAGAGGAACCCGGCTCCCTGCAACCTCCTCGCTTTACAGGGAGGGGCTAGCTTCAGTCAGCAGAGGGGTTCACAAGTGGCCAAGGTGGCTGGTCTTTGGGACAATGGAGGAGCTGACTTCTGACAGCAGGCCTCCAGGTGTGGGCTAGACTCAGGACCCTGAGACAGGGAGTTAGTTACTAGCTCACTGGGAACAAGAAATCACAGTCAAGATCTTTTTGTGTTGTTTGACAGGGCTTCTCTGTAGCCCTAGCTGTCCTGGAACTCATCCCATAGACCAGGTTGGCTTCAAACTCAGAGATCCGCCTGTCTCTGCCTCTCAAGTGCTGGGATTAAAGGTGTGTATCACCACTGCCCAGCAACAGTTCAAGATCTTAAGGCACTCTGGAAAAGACCTGAAAGGAGATGGAGACAGTTAAATCTCTCCTGAGACCCTGTGAGGTTCTGGGTTCCCTCAAGGCTATGGTCTCTGTCTTAATGCAACAGAGTTGATGTGCTGGCCCCAGGAGAGGTGTCTGACAGTGGCCTGAGAGGTGGCTTGCTTGCTGTGGCTCTTGGCTTGTGCAGGCCTCCAGGCTGTCCTGAGCTCAGACATTGGCTACAGGCCTCTGGGGTGGCTGCTTCTGGAGCAAGGCCAGGGTGTCTCTCTTCTCAATGGAGCGCAGCTGCTTCTTCTTCGCCTTCTTGAGCTTGGCGGGGTTTCGGATCTGGGGATGGGGGAAATAGGAGGCATTAGTGTGGTAGACGACCCTACACCTGTCTCTGGGGAAAAGGAAGGGAGGCACCAGGACTGCAGCAGGGCAGTGGACCATGTAAAGCAGGGAACCCAAGCACCTTAAAGGCTTTCACCTGGCCACAGCCTGCATCTCTTGGATGGGTGTACTCACCACTTGGACAATCTCAGCCTTTCGTTCATTCTCTAGGCGGCGTCTCAGGTTCTCAGCCCGGCGCTCTTTCTTCTCCTGAAACACACAGAAGGGGAACTCAGGCTAGGAGCTGAGGGGGCCCTGGGATCTCAGGCCCCTGGTGAGTAAGAACCGGCACAACCAGAAGAAGCCTGCTTGGACTCCAGGTTGTTTCTAGTGGGGAGGGGTGGAGGCCTAGGCACTTGTGGGGAAGAACAATGGGGTACAATGCCTATGTTGTGGGCCTGGAGCTGAGGCCCACTGTGGCAAGAGTACCTGGCTCCAAATTAGAAAGGAGGTGCGTAAACAGATACCTGAGGGCAGGGGCTTACACAGACGACTGTGTGGGCCAAGATGTGGGTACCTTCCCACCCAGAAGTCACATGCAGGCAGAATGGCCCCTTGGATCATTCCATGCACTAGCTGCCAGGGAGAGGAGTAGGCTGGTTCCCTCCTTCATGCTATTTTCCCAGGTTTCCTTCTGCTCATGTACAGGTGTACCAGAATGAGGATGCAAGGCCAGGATATAGCTGGGCTCTGCACCTGGTCCCAGGTAGGGTTGGGCAGGTTGAGCTGTCAAAAGGCTCTGAAGGAACCTGGTCCAGCTTGAGTTTTCATTCTGCTACTTTCTATTAGGTTATTGTGGCCAAGCCTGCCTCCACTTCCTCACCTTTACAGTAAAGTTGACCACAGGACCTACCTCACCAGACTGACGTGCGACATAAGTGTGACGAAGGCTTGGAATAGTGCCAGGTCCCTGGGGGTGGGAAGTCCAGGGATTCCTAGCTATGCTGCTACCGTACCCTAGCAGGGCTAGGGCAGGGATGGTGGCTCCAACATTAAATGCTATGTGCTCAAGGCCTTTTGTGGCTTTGGTAACTTTGAGTCACTGGGGTAGCCTGGGCCTTTGGAGAGGAAGTAACCTTTGCTCCTATGTATTAGGAGGAAGGCTAGGAGGGTGCACCTCTCCAGTTGCTCATGAGATAGCAACTGTTTTGCCCAAGAGGGATCCAAGGCTGCACAAGAAAAGAGGTGAGGCCTCAGTAACAGACAGATCTGGAGTGACTCAAAGCAAGATGGAGGATGCCTTAGTGACTGGCCATCTCTCTTCTCAGGGGCCAAGCTGGGACCACAGATCTGAGACACGTTGTTTGACTCTGGACCAGTGCTCCTTCTACACCTGGGGCTCATCAGACTAGCAGTAATTTGTCCTAGGGACATGCTGCTGACCAACCCAGCATGACCTTGCTTACTCAGTACTGCCAGTTGAAGGGACACCGGGACTCTTTCCAAATCTTCCTGGAGGCTGAAGGTGTTGGAAATAAGCCTCTGTGGTGCTGGAACCCAAGGCCTTGTGTATGCCAGTCAAGTGCTCTACCACTGAGCTATGTCCCTAGCTCACGGGCATGAACCTTTAACAAGGACACTTTTGGTTATGAGTTGGGGGCCAGGGAAGTGAATTGAAAGGAAAGTGCAAGAACCACCCATGGGCTGGTGTGCAGGCATATCTTCTAGAGTGACAGCAACAAATTTGAGACAAGCTTTTCCCTCATAAGCAGGTCTCAGAGAGGGGTTGACTCCGCCACACTGAATACTCCTGCCACCAAGATGGCTTGCTGGCCTTCATCTTGGGTTCCTCAATCTACTTCCAGGTCTCCTGCATGTCCCTGAGCCAGAGGTTTAGCTGAATGGTAGAGTGGGAATCCTACCATGGCCCTAGACTACTCTTCTTCCCCTGGAGCCCTCATGCCCAGGGCTCTGACCAAGTCGTACTCCCACAGCCCACGTCTGTTACAGCACACATGTATTTGGCCTCTGTGATCCAGATGTGGCCAGATGTCCGTTACCTGCCGGCGCCTCTGTTTCTCCTCCTCTAGGTGCCGGGCGAAGTCCTTGGCCAGCTTCCTCTCCTGTCGCTCCTTCATTTTCCGCTGCCAGGAGGTACGCAGGGGCTTGTCCTGAACCATCTGGGAGAACCTTGGCAGGAGAGGAGGCACTTAGGGGACCTCTGTGGTCCTGCCTTCACACCCTGCTCTCAATGGCTCTGGGTCTGCTTCCCGTCCTCTGCCTGCCTGGACCTCGCTTTCTATAGAAACTTAGGATGGAACAGGCCACTAAGCATGTGGCTATATTGAAGCATATGGCTGTAACTCTGACACAGGCTTGTGTTTTCCATTCTAGAGGAACAAACCAAGACTCTGAGTCCTCACATTCCTAAGTATATGCTGGGACTTGAACCTTTCTGTACCCATATGGCCTCAGCTGTGAAGTTTTGTTGCCACCAAACATGGTAACCTGTGAGTGAATGCCTCTGAAGATGAGGGGCTCGCTCCCTAGAGGGGTATGGCTTTCCTTCCAAACGGCAAGAACAGGGGTGTATGATTTCTGTAACAATTCTGATTCTTTCCCAGCTTTGGGGGTGGGTGTATGAAGGCAGTGGAAAGGGGTTAGGGGATTTCTGAGAAGTCTGGCTTTTCTGGAGAGTCCAGTGTTCTTAAGAGCCATAGAAGAATGGAGATGACTTCTGTTAGAACATATTTAGGGTGTGCTTAAAACATGCTCGGAGGGTAAAATGCAGAGACATGAAGCTGGGCCAGGAAATGCTGGTAACTGTTGAAACTGGTGATGAGACCCATAAAACTCAACTCTTCCCTTTTCTGAATGCTTCACAAATTCTGTGATAAAAAGCAGAAATAAAATGAAGACAAGCCTCCATGTGTGGTTTCTGCTCCATTACTTGTTGCTGGGTGTCCTATGGGGCTGTTCTTTCCCCACAACTAAGGCTCCTCAGAAGAACCTTTCACAGTGCCCTTCTGCTTCCTACACTGTGACCTCGACACCCGCAGGAGTTCCCATTACCTGTCTGTTATAGGGTATCTTGAGGCAACCCTGTCTCTGGAGGTCTGGGTGCATGCTGGGCAGTCTGTTCCTGACCAGATGAAGGACAACACTGCTTTTCTGAGCTGTCTGTTCCCTTCCTAGGAGTCTGGCACAGTCTAGAACTTTGCCCCACGCTCATTCATAAGCAGTCTGCACTGTTAACTTCTGACACCCTCCCCTGCCAGGTCCCCAAAGGCTTGCTCAAGATTCTGCTCTCTAAAAACAGAGCAGTGAGTGTGTTGTGGACTTCCTTCCTACCCTTAAAAATTGGGATATGAGAATCCTGAATGCACAAGATAATGGAAGCCTGGAGAAGTCAGACCACAGACATGATGCTGTAAGAGAATATTGCATCGTGGAAATGGTCCACATCTCGTCTGTCCTGTAAGGGACCTTCCCCACAGCAGAAATTTCAACTGAACCCCACTTCTCTTTCCCTACTGCCTAAATGATGCCTTTTCCACATGGGCCTCTTCATTCCTTCTCCCAAAGACATGAACTGAGCATGTCTTCACTCGGGTGAGCTCTTTCCAACCCTGGGATTGCATTCGGGTGAAGGCGGGGTCCAAACACACGGAGAACCTTTCCTATCCTCTATGCTACTCCACCCCCCACTTTACCTCTTCTTGGAGCGGTCTTTCCACACACGCCCGGATTTGGGCTTCCCCTTCGGGATTACAGGAAGCTCCTCCTTCTCCTTCAATTTCTTGGGCGCCGGGGCCTGGGGAGAAGATATAACTCGCTTCTTTATGTTGGGGCCCCCTGTCACCGTCTGGCCAGCCGGAGGTGGCCTGCTTGGTTCCGGCGGGCGCTCTGGGGAACTGGGTGCCTGGGCTGTCAGCTCCTGTACTGGCTGAGAGGGCTCGGGACCCGGTGCTTGCTGGCCCGGGCAGGGCTCTGGGGATACTGGGACCACCTCTGAGTCCAGTTCTCCCGGTGTGGCAGAGCATTTGGATGACTCCTCTCGCTGGGGGGATTCCGGACTCGATTCTGTCTGTCCTGCAGGTGACACCAGGCCCAGATCTTGCAGAGGTTGAAGGGACCCGGGGTCAGGCTCTGGCTGCCTTTTGGGGGACCCAAAGCCTGCATCCTGTTTCAGACAGGGTGATCCCGGGGTTGTCTCCGGCTCAGGCTGGGGAGACGCAAGGTCCAGAGGCTGCACTCCCGGAGACTTGGGCTCGCTTGTTTCTTCCGGGTTCGACTCGAACTCTACAAGGACCCGTCTTACCCGAGAAACTGCGGGGTCAGGAAGGGTCTCTAGGGACAGAGGTGTTAGGCCTTCAAGTCGCCGGCTGCGCCTCAGCGGCGTATCCATGGCTCACGTGGAGCCTCCGTCGCATTCGGAACCACAGGCGCCTTCACATGACGTCAGACGCAGCCACTTCCGTACCGGGCAGGAAGCGCACTTGTGAGGATGTCGTGCTGATGGGGAGGGGTGGAGAAGCAGGGCTGCCTGCCCCTCGGGGATGGGCTTGGTAGACGCATGCGTATCGTGTCGCGTTTAATGAGTCTGGTTGCTGCGTTTCCGGGTTTTTTTTGTTTTTGTTTTTTGTTTTGCAAAATGCGTTTTCTAGGTGCTAGAGAAGTAGCGGCACATTTTTTTTTTCCTGAGAGGAGAAGTCGGCAAAAAGGCCGAATGATCCTCTTAATTCTGGAACCGCTGGGCCCGCAAACGTTGCGCTTTCTCAGTTTTCTCTTTTGTAACATGGAGGCTTTGCGCTGTGTAACCAAGGAGGGTGTACTGGGGCCTCCATGAGCGGGAAATCTAAGTCGAGTTGTGTTAAACGTTCCCACCTTTGCCGCCTCTCTCCTCTCCCCTACCGTGCTCAGGTATGCAGTTAGTGGTTCTCTTCTTTCAAAACTTAGTAAGCAAAGTGTCAGGCCAGAGGCCCAGAAAGCCTTGACTGCATGTTGTCAAAGCTGGGACTCACAACCTGTACCCCAAGTCAGGTCTGGCTGCTTTGTCCTCAGTAAGCCAATTGAAAGAGCAGTATTAAAAGTGGAAAGCTTTAGAAAAAGATTGATTCGTTGTGGCCATACTGGGAAGGGTTATAAAGAGATTTTGTGAATCACCCAAGTCCGTCCTGAGGGTCCTGAAGTGAGATAAAAATTTAGATAGAGGGCCAAGGATACGTGCATCTAAGCAGTCCCTGTCAGGGTGTGACCTCGCCCACCAGGAACCCATCTTTATCTGGGTTTTAGTCTCATCCTGTAAGGTGGTCTGACAAGTTGCTAGAACTGTATGAAATCTCTTTCCAGGAGACCGGTTCCCCCTCCGACTGGTGTCCTGTCCTTTTCTCAGCATGAGAATTCTAGGGAAATTCCCATTTCTTTGGGGTCCGTTGTCTGATAATCAGATTGTCTGACAGATTGAGAGACCCAAGTGTCTCTTTAGAACGCCTTCGTTTCTGCCAGAATGGTTACATGCTGACCCTGGAGGAGGCAGGGAGGATGAAGACCCAGAGAAAAGTTCCTGCGGGGTGGGAAATTCTTGCCATCCATAGTCTCAGATGCATACCAATGGAGTCAACTTGAGTACACCCCGAGGGGCAGGCAATGACACAGCCTCTCCATGGCACTGGAAACAGTTGCACCCGTGTGCTGTAATTTTATATGTCAGTTTCTGCCTCTCTGGTCCCTCTGCTGGCTCCCAGCCCTCATGCTCCTGATCCAAGGACAGCTCCAGGGAGTTGTGGCTCAGGCACTAACTCTCCCAGCCCCCCCCCCCCCCCCCCCCCAATCCTCAAAGGAGTAGGTTCTGTTTGGTTACTCAAATTCCTGCCCCTGCTGGAATGGTCCAATACACAGAACCACATGGTGGGTTGCCTGGGGCTCCTGCTCCAGGCTGCCTCAGCCCCCCCCCCCCCCCCCCCAACTTCCTGACTCTTACCTCTGTCTGGAGGGATCACTTGCAAATGTTGATGAGATCACATCCCAGGTCTACTTAAAATAACCCAGGGCTAATTTTATGTTCCTGCCAGGATAGCTTGTGTGCGTGAGAGATGGCTTTTGAACAGAGGGCTTTGAGTGTGCCTCTGATACATATGCAAGGTTCCTCTTGAGCCCAGCCTGCCACTGTCATTGTGTGTGTGTGTGTGTGTGTGTGTGTGTGTGTGTGTGTGTGGTGTCAGGGGAGGCTCCTGAAATTTGCAGAGCAATAGCTTTCTCCCTTACTTTCACGAGTTAAGCCAGAGGATAGGAGGGGCTTTAGTGTTCCCTGGAGACCTCAGCTGGGTTCAGCCTCCGGCTTTTGTGACGGTAACCTGGTAGTTCACGTGCCCTCAGGCTTCTCCCTGGCTCACTTTCCCCCTCATTTGTGGTTGCTTCTGAGGAGGGGGCGGGCACTTTGAAACAGACTTTTTACGTATAAACCCTCATCTCAAGCACTGACACCTGTTAGCGTGTCAAAGCTCTCCTGCACCTCGAATCTCCAGGCGGAACCTGAGATGCAGGGGCCTAATGAAGATCTACTTCTTTGTGTATGTCTGTCTGGGCTTGTCTCTCAAACTTCTAGTGCCTGTGTGTGTGTGTGTGTGTGTGTGTGTGTGTGTGTGTGTGTGTTCTGTTTATGGGTATTTGCCTCTGCCAGGGCAAGGTGAGAGAGTACCTAGCTGACTATACTTGTTTCTTGGTTCAAACATACATATCGCTGTGTGCCACTGCCTGTGTAAGTCACATGTGCCCATTGGTGTGTGTTTGTGCACCTCTGTGCATCCGTCAATGCAGACCCTTGTACTAGGATTGATGACCATCCCCCTGTCTTGGCACTCCAGGGGGCTAAACAAACACCAGGAGACCCCTAGTAGGCAGCAAGTGTTTAGTTGGTGCTGGGGATTTAAGATCTCAAGTGTGCTGCCCTGATTGGGTGGATGATTGAAGCCTAGGAGAGTATCTGATCCATATCGTGGGTCCATCTGTGGGCACTGGTTTCCTTCAGTCAGCAGATCTCAGGTTACATAAATAAGCCAGGTCTTGCTCAGTCAGCACTTCATGGCATGTGTGACACTCGGCCCCTCCAGTGCATAGGCCAGGGGCAGTCGGGAACAGGAATGTCTGCAGGATGGGGCAGTTGCCAGGCAGCTAAACCTTCCAGCTCTGTGACTAATCCTGGCTCACAGTGTCACTCACTGCCTGGCTTTGGCCAAGTGCTTTATCCTTTCTGTGCCCCGGTTACCTTCTGGAGAACAGGGAGATTTGCTATGAAGAGTTGAGGCTTCGGAGTCAGCCAGGCCAGGTGCCCCCCCCCTCCCCGCCCCACTTATTTATCTTTCCCAGTGTCCAAGCCTCTCTGTGCTTCAGGTTCTTTTTTTTTGTTTTGTTTTTCGAGACAGGGTTTCTCTGTGTAGCTTTGTGCCTTTCCTGGAACTCACTTGGTAGCCCAGGCTGGCCTCGAACTCACAGAGATCCGCCTGGCTCTGTCTCCCGAGTGCTGGGATTAAAGGCGTGCGCCACCACCGCCCGGCTCAGTTTCTTTATTAGTAAAAGGAGAGTCAGTGGCAAGAGCAGGCACCTGCCTCCTAGGGTGGTTGTACAAAGTGAACAGAGTTGCACACGTACACACCTAGCGGCAGGCTTCTCTCTGCTACTCAGGGGTTGCTCACATATTCAAAGACGTGTTTCCTATCGCGTTTCTAGAGTTGCCTTTTAGTCAGACTGAGATCTCCTGTCTCTCCAGCTGTTCCCCGGTTCTCCGCAGGCCTCCCTCCCCACCTCCCCCAGAACTGACTGCACTCAGCACTGTGGACTCATCCTCTCCCTACTCCGTGGCTCCCAGCAGTGTGACTGGCACCCTGCCCTCATGCTCTTCCTGGTGTGGCCCTCCAGTGGAAACCCTCCATGTGGCTCCAGCTGTCTCCTGGATTTATCTTAGATACTGTAAGATTTCCTCCCCTCCCCTCCCCTTCCTCTCCTCTCTTTGTTCCCTGTCCCCCCTTTTCACCCCCCCCCACCCCCCCACCCCCCGTGAAGCCATCTTGGTTGGCCTGGAACTCATGGCAGTCCACCTATCTCCCCCTCCTGAATGTTTGCTGCAGATGTGAATCACCATGCCTGGCTGGTGTAGGACTTCTGTTGAGTTGTTTTGACCTCTTTGGGGTCTAGCTCCTCATGTAATCCTCAATCCCCCTCCTTTTTGGCAGGTGTGAATAGCTGCTTGCAGGTGTGAATTGGTTCCACAGAAACCTGGAGTAGGACAGGGGCCAGCTCTTACCGAAAGCGAAAGCGCCCATCTCAGCCCTCCTTCCCTTTGACTCTTGAGATGGGGGAGGAGGGCAGGAGTGGGAGGAGAGGAGGACCATTCGGCTGTGCCTGCAGGGCACTCACAGGGCACTCACAGGGCACTCACAGGGCACTCACAGGGCACACACAGGGCACTCACAGGACACTCACAGGGCACACAGGGTTCAGGGAAGCTGCGGGATACGAAGGTCCACTCCAAAGCTCTCTGATACCTGCTGCTCAGGGTGAGGAGAGTAAGTAGAGTTTATCTCCAGATCCCTCCTGGAGCATCTGCAGGTTTTGCTGAAACAGGAAGTGGCACTGCAGCCATCCCCTGGTTGGCAGAGGGTGGGGATGCTTGTCTGTGTATGGGTGGGTGGGTGGAGCTAGTTTCTCTCTCTCCAGGCCCCTGCTAGCCTTCATAGCAGGCTTCCTGCTCTGAACAGGTCAAAGAAGGGGCTAGCAGTGACACCTGAGCAGGTGGAAGTAGGGACCCTAAGAAGGTGGCATCCCATCCCATCCCATCCACTTCCTAGTGTATCTAACAACAATGCTTCTCCAGCTTCAGTGAGAATCAGTCAAATGCAAGGTGTGTCCAAGCCCAGATGGTCGGATTCAGTACGTTTGGGATGTGGCTTTGGATGTCTAGCAAACTCAGGGGCTGGTGCTGTTGCTGCTGGTGCTGGTGCTGGTGCTGCTGGTGCTGGTGCTGGTGCTGGTGGTCATGGCGGTGCTGGTGGTGGTGGTCCACAGACCACACCCTGAGGATCAATGTCCCAGAGGAAGAGATGAACAAAACCTGAAAAGCCTGCCTTCTTTGCCCTCCACACAGTGCAGAGGCGGAGTTCACCGTCATCGCATTATTCACCAAGCACTAGTTATTTCCCTGTGCTGATACTAGCAAAACACTAGGGGACTGGGTAGTCATGGTCCGTGCGTTTGTGGACCTTTATTAATTGAGGGGTACCCCTGGAGAACATGGATTGAAAACCCCGCGGTCGTCTGAGCAGGAATGAGCTTCCCCAGTGAACAGGTGAGGTAATGGCGTCTCAGAGAGGCCACCAGGCTTCCTGACGGTCACTCCAATGTGACTTTAACCCCGACTCCTCAGTCTGAGCTCTGCCTCCAACACCCTAGCTGGGAAACACCACCAGAACTGCCGGGGCCTGGGCTTGAATGGGACAATGACAGACCCTGTACGCATTACCAGAGGGTGTCGGCTGGGGCTTGAATATAAAAGGAGAACTCGTCGGAAAGACAGGTAAATATGTCCCAGAGTTGCACACACTCAGACTCTCAGTTCCCAAGATCTGGCCAATGACAGAGTTTCAGGATAAGTCACTTCCCTCCTCCCCCTCCCTGTTTACTAGCTAGCCTTCTCATTTCCTCCACATCTGGCTGCTTGACAGCTCCATTTTCTCCACAGTGTGATGATATCCACTTCAGTTGTCCCTTTCAGTTGCTATGGTGGCCTCATCTCCATGGCAACCTCTGGAGATGCTGTCTTTTTGTGAGATTGGGGATGGAACCCAGGGTTTCACACATGCTAGGCAAGGGTTTTAACACTGCACCCTACACCCTCAGCCCTTGGAGATACTGACTTGGTGACCAAGAAAGAGCACCCCAGAACCAAGTATGAGGTCCCTTTCTGTGAACCACAGATGAACCACAGATTAAACTGGTCCCTGATTTAGCGGTGGGAATCTCTGTTCTCCCTGCCTGCTCACATTGCAGTAGTCAGACCAGCCCCAGATCGCACTCAGATGGTACATTCAGCCTCAGGTGGGTGAACTGAGTCTTTCTCAGTCAGTGAACTATCTTTTCTGTTTTCATGGAGGCTCCAAATGTCTTATCCTACCCTAGGTACAGGGCTGCCCATGGCACTCACAGGATCGCAGGGCAGGGCCAGAGTTCACTATCACCCTATCATTTACTTACTCATTTATCCCATCATATACTTACCCATCAAGAACTGGTTGACTGTGTGCCCTGTGATCATAATTCTGCATCTCAGATGCTCTGATTCGATCTACTGAAGGGTGTCATAGAAACGGACAGATTGTTTCCTCTGCAAACACCACTTGTTTGCAGATTGAAAGGCATGTCACTAACAAGATGCTCAGCAATATTGATCAAAATGCATTTTATTGTGGTAGATTAGAAAGTCATGAACGTGTCCCAGTTTCACTGCTAGCTGAAGTCCTCAGGATTCTGTCTGGAGTAGCTTGTAGGTCTCGTCTAATTCTCAGGGTAATTCTCTTGTCTTTCAGAGGTGCGGTGATAGAAGCTGGCCAGTGGTCCAGTGAGGGTTTGAATCGAGAGCTCTGCTTCTAAAACACGTGTGATTTTACCCACATCTCTCTGCCTTTGTGTCTCGGGCACTTGATCTAAAGCTAGAGCAAGTTCCCATGCTAGCCCAGGCTGCCTCTGTTCTTCGTAAATAAGCCAGAAGTTGCAGGTCTTCTCAGCTGGTAGATGGTGGTGCATGCCTGTAATCCTAGCACTTGGGAGGTGGGGGCGGGGCTTGATGGGTAAGGGCTGGAGGATCAGGAGGTGGAGGCCAGCTTGGATATTTAAACAAGTTAATTAAATTATATTAATTAAAATAAATAAAAGCATGCTTCCTATAGAGACAAGGACAGATGAACCAGAGTGATATTTTATTCTGTTCTGTGCTTCTTAACATAACATAACACTCAGATGTTATCACTTTCTACTGTGTGGTTTTAGCTCTCTGCTTTTAAAATGACTCTGCATAGACAGACTTTCCTGGAAAGGTGTTGAGGACTGAGTTTTCCAAAGCTGGCCTGGGTACTGTCTTCCTATCCATGTGATCTTTTTACTGTGTGACCTGGACAGCCCTCAGGTGCTGGAATCTATGTCCCTCCATCCTTCAAACTCCAGGATAGCCTCAGCTAATGGAACACAATGGCATTGTTGTCATGTATTTCTGAGGTTAGAACATGGACCGCTGAGTACTTCTGCTTGGCTCTTATGGGATGCTGGCTCTTGGAACTCAGCCGACATGTTGTGAGGAAGTTCAACTCACCCTATGTGGAGAGACTGGCTCTGTCTTTGGTAGTCCAGCCAGGCTGCCAACACCCTTCATCATCTACCAGGTGGGAGTGGAGATGGTTCTGTATGATTTTATGCCACATTCCTCAGGTCATTCCTAACTTTGAGCCTGGGACTGTAGGTGGTATATACAATAGGTGGTGTATACTGGAGACATGGACTACACACACGTGTGTACAGTAGAGATGCTGACCTTGAGCTCTGTTGAGTCTAGTTGGGGAGAGAAGACGCTGGTGTGTGTTGTGTGACCCTTGACTGAGGTTTGGCATCTTCCAGGGCCATGGAGCAGGAGGAACACTGAAAGTCGACAAGGAGTTACAAGAAGTTGTTTCACGTGGCTCAGGCTTCTGCCTGCAGACCTCACCCAGAGAGACAAAAGAAATTAGTGTCCTTCTTCTTTGAGACATTAGTGATTTTATTTTCCTAAACTAGATAATCTCCTTACATAGAAAGAAAAGTGACTGACCTCTCTAGCCCCAGTGTCTACCTCTGTGGGCAGACTTAATAACGTGCTATACAAGTTTATGACCTGGCTCAGGACTTACCAGAGGGTCTAAATGAGCCCAGGTCTAAATGAGCAGCTCAGATGTGATATGCAAAGGGCCATTTGCCAAGAAGGAATCTATCAGCCTTTAAAACACTTTCTAAAACATCACCTGGGGGCTGGAGAGATGGTTTAGTGGTTAAGAACAGATGCTGCCCCTGCAGAGGACCTGAGCTCTGTTCCTAGTACCAAGTTGGGTGGCTTACCAGTACCTGTGGGGATCTGACGCCCTCTTCTGGCCTCCAAGAGGTCTTGCACTCATGTGTGTATAAACCCACATAGATACACACACACATATATGTAATTTTTAAAAAAGTCATCTTTTGCGAAAGAGAATGACAGAGGGAACAGCATAGAAGAAAAGTCACAACCACAACACCTGAAAAACAGTAAAAATACATTTAGGACAAGCCTTCCTATTGTCCTCCAGTAAGTCAGCTCTGTGATTTGTGAATGGGGAGAGTAAGGTAAAAGCCAAGAGAGGAGAGTCTTCTGTGGTGTGTGCACATACAGTGCCATGTTGAACAGAAAGAATGCGGGTTATAATTTGTATTAAAGGGACACTGGCTTCCCCTCTGCCCACTCAACTAAAGTAGACATATATCAGAGGTTACCACATCCCAGCAGCTTGTAACTTCAGAGTATCCCAAAGCCACAGCCAACGCCTAGAGTGGATTATTCAAGGTAGTGGAGTTGGGTGTGTCAGTGGAAGCCGAGATACCAGCTTGGAGTTTCAGACCCACAATGTTCCAAGTTCTGCAAACCCCTACCTTTCTGGGGACAGCTTTGTGCGGGGTGGGTCCTCTTGGGCATGAATCACAAGTCCATCTCAGATTCATAGGCATCTGTTGAGGTCTAGGGAAAACAGGGATCCTGCTAGCAGGTTCAGGTGCCCACATTCAGTGCCTGAGACCATACTACTGTCTGCTGGCCTCCTGGTGGCAGTCTCTGGTGCTTCCTATTTGCAGAGTGACTTTCCAAGGGTCTTCAGTGATTACACAGCTCACTGTCCAGACAGGAGCTCCGGTCTTGATGGGGATAGCAGCTGTGAGTCAGCTGTGTCGCTTTTTCTGGGAGATACGAGCAGATGTCTATTTGGCCTAGACAACGAACTAATGACAATGGAAAAGACAACCCCACACAGTCTAGCTTGGGACACCAGTGAGTTTATTGGGGTTGCTTACAGGAGCATGGTGAGGATCTACTTCTAGGAACATGGGCGACTTGAAGGCAGTTGCATCACTAAAGGGTCCATGCCAGCGCAGGTGATGACTCATGAGAACTGCATCCCTGGAGCTCCCTGTCCACCTGGAGGCAGCTCCCCAGAAGAGTCTCCTTCTCCCAAGTTTTTGCTTACTGCTTATATTGCCTGGGAAAGGGGCCTGGCGGGTCTTGTAATTTTCTGTGCTTCTTCAGCCTTTTAAGTTTCATCAACTTCCTTAGCCTTAACAATTTTTTTAGGTTTATTTTTATTTTATGTATATGAGTGCTTGGCCTGTGTGTATGCCTGTGCACCATGTGTGTGCAGTGCCCACGGAGGCCGAAGAGGGTGCTGGATTCCCTGAAACTGGAGCTCCTGTCAAATTGCAAACAGACGCAGTTACTTTGGGAAGAGGCTGAGACTAAATTTCTTTCAAGCTCCTGGGGACACTAAAGCCCCCTTTTCCTGGACAGGGCTTTGAAGGGGGAGCAACCACTCTCGCGGGCAAGCACTGGCCCACTCTTACCTTCGTAATGTCCATGGATTTTGTGTGAATTCACCTGCTGTGTGAATTTCATGGGTGGATGTTTCTAATTGGAGACAACATCAACAACACAAAAAATGTCTCCAACAAGTCCAGACTGATGACTAGGAATTTATTAGCTGTAAGTTAACAGGGATATGGCATTCTCACAAAAAAAGCCAGTGCCTCACCTGTTAGCCTCTATTTCACATGGCTCGAAGGCTACTGTATAATCAATGCAAACCTGGACTTAGAGTGCCACCTAGTGTCAGAACATTAGAAATACCTGCAGGGTCAGAGAGGCCGCCCAAATCAAACTCAGAAATCCGTTCTCATGTGCACCGGATCTTTTCCTGGCCGAGCAAATGTTATTAGATCAGTAGCTGTGCCTCCTTGGCAAGTCACTCAACCTGCCTGAAGGTGAGCACTCCTGCAGGACACTGACTGTGGGAGGAGTGAAGGATAAGATTGGACAGGCAAGAACGTGCCGCGCCAGGCTTGTCCCTGAGCTGACTGATGGGCCAGCAAGGAGGTGTAAGCATCCAGGCCGGAACTTCTCCAGATTTCCCATCCCATGAACCCAGACAGATTTTTCTTGGTGTGGACAGCCTGGCAGAAATGAGGATATCCTAGGGAGATAATGTGTGCCTCTCAATTTGACTGTCAGACTATTCGGACAATGGACTCCAAGAAGACGGGATTTCCCTAGGAACCTCATGCTGAGAGAGGGAAAAGGCATGGGGTGCACGGGAGGAGGGTACTTGTCTCCTCGAAAAGTGATTTCACACATTTAAGTTTTTTGTTTTTTTCTTTGGAGACAGGATCTCACTATGTAGCTCTGGGTGTCCTGGAACTCATTCTGTAGACCAGGCTGGCCTTGAACTCACAAAAAATCAGCCTGCCTCTGCCTTCCAAATTCTGGGATTCAAGATGGGCACCACTCTGCCTAGTTTTTTTGTGTGGGTGGTTTACACATTTCTAATAACTTGTCAGACCACTTTGCCTGGACACTGATAGACCCTGACTGACTGCTTAGTTGTACATAGACCTATCCTGGAGATGGGCTGGAGGGGGTGTCACTGAATCTCTTTGTCCTTTTCCCCAATGTGGCCACATTGAATTAGTCTCTTTTTTTTTTTTCCTGCTTCTTACTACCAATTTGGCTGTTTTAGTGGGTTTCTCAAGTGACTGAGGAATGTCTTTCACGGCCCCTCACCACTGACAATTTCTATCTTGTATTTCAGCCTGGTCACACCAACTCAGAACAGATCCCACAGATGACACTGAACTCTGTCAGGTTTGACTATGCATGCCTTGCCCTTCTGACTTCCTAACCAGCCAGAGGGTTGGGGGTGGGGAAGAAAAGTAACATTTAAACAACCAGTCACCCTTTCCCACTTCCTCTCTAGAAGCTAACAGAATGAGTCTAGTGGGAAATGGAAGGATGCGCTATTTCCTTAGGGGCTTGGTTTTACATGCTGGAACATTTTGAAATTTAAGGGCTTCTTCTCTCTGTCTCTCTGTCTCTGTTTCTCTCTGTCCTGTCTCTCTCTCTGGGTGTATTGGGAGCTCTGTGTGCACATATATGTGGTGGTTTGAATGAGAATGGCCCCCACATGGGCTCATATGTTTGAATACTTGGTCCCCAGTTAGTGGAACTGTTTGGGAAGGATTAGGAGGTGTGGCCTTGTTGGATGATTGTGTCACTGGGCAGGGGTGGGGTGGGGCAGGCTTTGAGGTTTCAAAACCCCACAGCATTTCCAGTTAGCTCTCTCTGTCTTGTAGATGAGATGTGAACTCTCAGCTACTGCTCCAGCACCATGCTTGCCTGCCTGCTGCCGTGCTCCCTACTGTGCTCCCTACCGTGCTCCCTACTGTGCTGGCCATGGACTCACCCTCTGAAACTGTAAGCCCTCAATAAACTCTTTCTTTTATAAGTTGCTGTTGTGGGATGTCTTTCTGTATGCTGGGAATATGTGTTGATATGATTGGTTGATAAATAAAGCCGTTTGGCCTATGGCAAGGCAGCTTAGAGGAAGATGGGAAATCCATCCAAGCAGAGAGACAGGAAGAGGGCGGGGAGAGATATCAGCCACCACTGAAGGAGAAGCAACATGCCAACAGACCAATAAAGCCACAGATCATGTGGCAAAACATAGATTAAGAGAAATGGGTTAATTTAAGATATAAGAGCTAGCTAGCAAGAGGCCTGCCATAGACCATACAGTTTGTAAGTAATATAAGCTTCTGTGTATTTAATTGGGTCCAAGCGGCTGCAGGACCAGGCAGGACACAGGAAAACTTTCAGCTACAAGTTGCCTTCCATGTTTTTTACCATAGCAATAGAAAAGTAATAAGACAGCATTAAGTGTGCATTCATGTGTGTGTATGTGCATGTGGAGGTTAGAGACTGACTTTTTGTGTTTTTCTTGATCACTCTCCACCTTATCGTTTGAGCCATGGTCTTTCTTTGAACCTTGAGTTCAGTGGCTGAGCTGTGCTGGCTGGCTAGTGACTCCAGCATAACTGGGATTTTCATGTTTTTGCCTCCCCAGAGACAGAGCTACAGATGAGTGCCTCTGTGCTTGGCTTTTTCATGGGTGCTAGGAGTCTGACTGAGTCATCTCCCCGGTTCCAATCTAAGGGACTTTCAAGGATGGTTTTGACTATGTGGTTTATATCTCACCTGCTAACTTGGAGTGCTAATCTCTGTGTAATGGGGTCTTCTGTATTTGGAGGGTGTAATCGCTTCCCGTTCTTCTTGTGCCATGCCTTTCTTTATACTTCGCCAGGAGCCCTATCCCAAGACTCAGTTTACACATCTAGTTCTCATGTATCCCTTCTGCCCCATCTCAGGATGAACTGAGGATTCCCTTTCTATTTTCTCAGGACTTCAGGGCTCCAGCTCTGGTGATTTTATGCTTACTTTTTTTTTTTTTTTTTTTTGAGACAAGGTCTTACTATATAGCCTTGGCTAGCCTAGAACTCCCTATGTAGCCTAGAACTCCCAGGTTGGCCTCAAACTCACAGACATCTGCCTGCCTCTGTCTCTTGAGTACTGGGATTAGAGGTGTACAGCACTACATTCAGCCTCTTGTGTTTACTTTACAGTCTCCAGAGCTTCCCTGTCGAGCGGCTCACTTCTCTCTCAGAAGTGGTCGTGGGTCAGATGAGGCTCCGCACCCTGATTCTGGCACCGTGGGTTTCATCATGTGCCCCTCGAGGAATGCTATCTTTACCTGCAACCACAAGCCTTTCCCCAAACATCCTTGAGGACCAAGAGAGAATGTCAGTGCCCTGCTCAGTCACTTCCAGCATACAGAAACTAGCATGAGCGACACAACTCTTAAAAGATGCCCCGGGGGCTGTCTAACTTGTGGGCAGACCCAAGGAAGACTGGCCTCGCCCGGGGCTTTTAACCTTGGGGAGTTTCCTCACAAGGCTCCTGACTTTCTGAACTCCCTGGGACTGTAAACCTGCCCATTGTAAGACGGCAGAATGATCTCGAGTCCAGGCTCCAGCCTGTGACTAAGTGGGATTCCCGGGTCTAGCACTGTCTGGTGCGTGACTGTGTTAGTTACTTTTCTGTTGCTGAGGTGAAACACCAACCATGGTCGCTGATAGAAGACAGACTTTATTTTGGTGGCGGGTTCCCAAGGGACGAGAGTCCATCAGGGAAAGGAAGGCAGCACAGCAGCGGCCATGGCGGCAGGAACAGGGAGCTGAGAGCTCACGTCTTTAACCAGCAACATGAAGCCGAAAGAGAACTCGACGTGGTGGACATTTTGTAGTCTCAAAACCCACCCCCAGTGACGTGCTTCCCCTGCCCATCTCCATAACCTCTCCAAACAGCACCACCATCTGGGGACCAAGGGTATTTCTCATCTAAACCATGTGACCATGAGGAGATGCCTTAACTTCCCTCTGCTTGAGTTGTGTGTTGTGTGTGTGTGTCTGGCCCAGAGTAAGACTCAATAAATGATCACCAGTGGCTGAAATAAAAAGCTTAGGGTGGGGATGTTTGAAGACCAGTCCCTCTAGCTTGCAGAAGTAAGTCTGTAGGTTCTGGTCGCATCACCGGCCTCTTGCTGCTGTGTCTCTGTGTGACTATGATAGGCTTTTGGTAGGTGACCTCAGCAAGATCCTTGCTGTGTCTTTTCTTCCTAAACGTTCCTACCTGAAGGAGATGGCAAGCTCTTAGACTCGGGGAAGCACACAGGGAATCCAGAGAGTTAGGGGACTCTTGAGGACCCTCCCTGAGGTATAAAGCAGCACACAGTCCCCGGGGGCAGGAGACACTCTCTTGGATCTGACGATAAGTCGGTTGCACAGGGAGTCAGTCCCAAGGATGCAGCTGTTACGAGCGGTGTCTCTCACGCTGGTGGCACAGTTGCTTTTGAGTCCCTCCTGTAGGTGACCCCAGCACACTCACTGCTTTACATGGGTGGGCTTCTTCCTTTGGTTTGTCACTGATTCCCCGTTTGGAGTGAATACATATTTGTTCACAGGTTCTCAAGAGAAGTCATGCCACAGTCCAGTTCCCCAGGCAGTCAGAAGAGTCTGGCTTTTATTGTGAAGATGTTTTGGGGCTGGGATCAAGTCCATAACTGCCTAAGTGAGAGAGACTTTCTTAGCTAGTCAAGATGGACCTGACTCCCTCTGTGGAGAGGCAGGCAAAACAGAGCCAAGGCTCCTCTGTTCTGAAGGTCTCCTCCCCATAGAAACCTTTCCTCCTGGAGGGAAGAGGATGGAAGCTTCTAAGACTCAGGAAGTCTCCTGTGGGTGGTGGCTCCAGCCCTCCAGACTGCCTCTCTGCAGATTGCCTGCCCTTGTTCTGCCAGGCTCTGTAATCTCATGTGCCAATTCCTTAAGTCCCAGCATGGATCCCTAGGGATATTTTTCCTGGCCGAACCCTGGTGGGTAACAGTGTTCAGCCCTTGGCAGGGGCCTCGCACACTCAAAGCACTTGGCTTCAGAATCAATGCCAGGCACCAGGAGAGTTTAGAGGAAAGAGCGACCAGGAGGAAGTGATCACAGCCACAGGGAGTGGTACGGGAGGAGAAGGAGAGGACTTAGGTCTTGCCTGGGAAGAACTAAGTCTCTGGGAGAAAGGACTAGCAGGGCTGAGGAGATGGCTCCGTGGTGAAAGTACTTGCCTCACGTGAGGGTGAGGATTGGAGCTTGGATTGTGACTTAGGGTTTCTATTGCTGCGGTGAAACACTATGTCCAAAAAGCAAGATGACGAGGAAAGGGTTTATTTGGCTTACACTTCTGCACATCATTGAAGGAAGTCAGAACAGGAACTCAAACAAGTCAGAAACTTCTGCGTTAGCTCGTGCCTCCCACGAGCTGACGCAGAAGTTACTTACTGACTTGCTCCACATGGCTTGCTCAGCCTGGTTTCTTATAGAACCCAGGGCCACTAACTCAAGGATGGCATCACCCACAATGGGCTGGGCTCTCATTAATCATTAATTAAGAAAATGCCCTACAGGCTTGCAGCTCAATCTTGTGGATGCATTTTCTTAATTGAGGTTCCTTCCTCTCAGGTGACTTTAGCTTGTGTCAAGTTGACATAAAACTAGCCACTACAGATCCCCAGAACCTATGTAGATGCTGGGTAGGCACTGTGACTCACCTGTAATTCCAGGCTTAGAAGGCAGAGCGACACGGGATTCCCAGAGCAGGCTGGCCAGTGGGAACAGCCATATTGGCAAGCTCTGGGTTAGACTGAGAGGTCCTGCTTCAATGGATAAGGAGGAAGAATAAGGATAAACCTTAGGCTCCACATTCGATCTAGGATGGTTTCCGGCATCAATAGCCTCCACAAGCACACATATGCATGCATACCCCCTACATATCCCACACATGCAAACATGCATGCATGTATAGGCTCACTACATGCAAACACACACACACACACACACACACACACACACACACACACACAAAATAGAAAAAGAAAAAGAAAAAAGTTGGCAGAGCCTGGACAGCTGGACCTGTAGGCTCCCTTAGCACACCTCCGCTCACTTCCCCTGTTTCTATCACACTCTCAAACACTTCAGTTTCTCTTTATAGCAGTTGTACATTTATTTGTGTGAGTCATGCCTGTCTTACACTGGAGTCCCAGCCACAGGGAGGTGAGGATGGATTTGCCACTGTAGGAATTCAGTTTTTATCTGTGGGACAAAGGAATAACCATTAGGCATCCATGACCGGCCTCAGTGCTGAAGTAGCCTTCAGTGCTGGAGGAGGAGGCCCGTGTTTGGGGGTTTCTCTTAATGTCCTGGGGTGGCAGCGGGGCTCGAATCTCATACTGGAGAAACAATAGGTTTGGGAGCTGGGGAGCTAGGATGGGTGCTGGACACAAGAATAAATTTTCTTCCAGCTCTCAGGGCCCCAGGAAGCAGCTGGGACACGGCTGAGGAGTCAGGGCCAGAGGGATAATAACATCAGACATGGGATCCAGCCTCATGCCCATCAACACTGCCTTCTGGGTAACACTCAGTGAGCCTGCATCACCCATTTGGGCCTTAGTTTATCCTGTGACATGAGGTTAAGTGAGATGATTCACAAAGATTCTTCTAACATAGAAGATTGATGAGGCTGGAAAGCAGAATTCCAAGTTCAAGGGCCGTGGGAACTGGAGCTAAAGTCAGAGTTCAAATCCACATCTTTTCTGCAAGCTGAGTCAGGTGAAGAGATCCGCTTTGCTTGTTTCCCAGCTGGGAAAACCCTCCACCAACTGAGCTACCCACTCTTAGCATGCACATGTAATAAATAATACATTTCTTTAAATAGACTCGTGTCATTACAATTCAATGATGTTTAGAATCAAATAGGGTGCAGGGACACTTGGCCTTTCCTCCAAGTCAAGAGCAAGAACTGAGTGCTCTCTGGACCCAGTGAAAAATCTGGGTTTATCTGTGCTGAGTCCTCACTGTGTGGGAGATGGGCTTCTGGGAGGACAGGGTTCCCTTGAACTAAGAGGGCTGATGTTGATGGCATTCCTTTGAATGTACTGATCCCACCTCCTCACTGAAACACCCTTTGTGGAGAGCCGGAGCCATGCTACCACCCCCTGTGCATCATCAGTGCAGGCAGGACAGGACGTAGTGTGGAGCTACACCAGCACTTCCCAGTGAACATTCTTAGACTACTCTCTCCAGTGCCTGGGGCTTGTGTGAAGTGGAGGTTGATGGAAAGTGTCGGTGAGGCCAGCAGTGATCCAGAGCTGGTGGCCTAGGAAAGACTCAGAGCAAGCTCTGCCCGTGTCAGAGGGGGAGGAGGGTCCACGGGAGGAAGGGCTAGGGCTGTGGCTCAGAGGTAGGATGTGTCTGTGTGTTGGGGAATCTCAAGGTGCCTTAGGGAGGCTGCAGCAGAGTGAGTGGCGGGTGAGGTCAGGGCAGAGGGGTCAAGAATCTGGTGATGGTTAGTTTCACTGTGTTTGTTATTTGGGGGGCTTACTTTGGTTATCAAAAATTTTTTTATGGCTAAAAAGAGACATCTTAAAATAAGAAACAAATCAACTTAAAGAAACAGAAGGAACCCAGTGTGGCCCATAAATAAGCCAGCTTGGCGAGTGAGTTCCTCTGAGTACTGAAGACTGGGAGAGAAGGGAGGCAGGTCCTTCCCATGGCTTGCCCACCAGCATGAGCAGGTTTAGAATTCCCAGACTAGAATTTCATCTTGAACTCCACTTCTGATCTCAGATTTCTGAGCTTACAGGAGCCTCCTGGATCGTGGTCCTTATTTCCCCTCCATTTATAGATGGAGACACTGAGGCCCCAGAAACAGAGACCTTGTATGGTTTTTGATTTGACATCCTTCTGGCTGCTCCCAAACCCTATGATTCATGACTACCCTAAAAATAGCCTAGGCCATTCACCCCAGCTATGGGCAGCCATCGTGCACCCACTGTGGATGGGAGGCTGGGTGTTGTGGGCTATTTGTACACTGTGTGAAGATGTATTGCTGTGACTGATGTAATAAAAAGCTGAACAGCCAATAACTAGGCAAGAGGTATAGGCGGGACTTCTGGGCAGAGAGAGAACTCTGGGGAAAAGGTGCAGTCACCAGCCAGATGTGGAAGCAGCAGCATGGGCAGTACAGAGAGATGAGGTAATAAGCCACGCAACAGAATGTAAATTAAAATAAATGGGTTAATTTAAGTTATAAGAGCTAGGGCTGGAGAGATGGCTCTGAGGTTAATAGATAGCACTGGCAGCAATTCCAGAGGTCCTGAGTTCAACTCCCTGTATCCACATGGTAGCTCACAACTATCTATAATGAGATCTGGTGCCCTCTTCTGGTCTGCAGGCATACATTCAGGCAGAACACTATATACATAATAAATAAATAAATCTTTTAAAAAAGTTAAAAGAGCTAGTAGGACAAGCCCAAGCTAAGGCTGAGCCTTCATAATTAATAATAAGTCTCTGTGTCATTATTTGTGAGCTGGTGGCCCAAAGGAAAGTCCAACTCCACTAGGGCATGGAGGGCTTACCCAAGAGCTACTCTGGAGGCTGGCAAGGAGGGCATCTGGTCCTACTCTGATTCAGCAGAGTAGGCTCTGGCCAGCTGACGCAGACTCTGAGGTATCTGGGTCTAGGGTGGGTGGTGTAGGGGAAGGGACCACCACCCATTCCTAGGTGGACTGTTTTTACAATAGCACTGTTTGTCCCTTTTCCAGGGGAACTGGCTCCTGTCTGTGCCGGGGAGAAGTGACCACAGTGACTTGTGAAGGTCTGGGGAGCCTAGGCTGAAGACCCTTCACCTCTTCGTTTGCTCATTTGTGTGTTACCTTGAGCCACATCTTCATAGGTTGGTGGTGGCCCCATCGAGAGACCTTCAAGTTCCATAGGTGCGTCAGGAACGAGAGGGGTGTCATCCTTATCCTGCCAAAGAGAAATCACTGTCCCCATTGGCCTAGCACATGTATGATTAGCTATTTACGAAGTGTGTCTTGGCAGAATCACTTTGGAAGTCACAAAGTCCACATGAGGCTTGATGAGGGAACTTCCAGAGGCCTATGTGTGACTACTGTCTCTCTAACATTAATCAAGAAAGATCCATGGGGTTAGTTGGTGGGGTTTGAGTTAGAGTTCTACCTCCAGTGTCCCGTTGACCATGAGCAAGTAGCCCCCACAGCTAGGATTCCCAACGTGGGCTGGGCTGGGTCTAGCTTTAGAAGGTGGTGTGCGTTCTCTAAGTCTCAGTTTACTTATCTGTATAGTGGGACACACACACTTGCCTGAAAGGATGATGAGAAGATGAAGTAAAGCTACGTTTATATGTGTCACTATGGCTATGTCAATTATATGGATACGAATGCAGTGTTCCACAGAGGACCCGATATCTCCTAAGTACTCAGTCTGTGAGCCCTGCCTGCTGTCTGTCCCTTCTGAGCTCTCTGCTGCCCAACGTCCCCATGTCTTGAGGGTTTGTCTCCAGGAAGGCCTCACCTCGGCATGCAGACGTTCTGTCCTACAGGCTATGACGGCTGTGGATCCTGTCAGGAAGATCTCCAGGAAGGTGAAGCAGAGCAGGGTCAGCTCCAGTCTCTGGATATAGACCTGCAGCGAGTGGCGGGGGATAGGACAGGGCTTCCTTGGTGCCTGCCTGTCACCTGGGTTGGCCGGGCAGATCCACAGCAGAAGCAGCAGGGCTTCTGCTCCCCTGGGAGGGTAGAGAGGGACTCTGAGGGATGGGGGCTGTTTCCATCACGCTCCATGCCTAGTGCTTGGCGATAGGGGGCCTGGGTGAGTGTTTCCCAAAGTGTGAGGACCAGAGGGTCTTCCAAGACCCTGGGAGAACTGGAAGTGGCCCTGTGGGTCATTTGGATAACTCTGCTCAGCCTGTGGGGTTGTCTAGGCCCAGAGAGAAAGTGTGTTTCATAGCAGGGCGGGGGAAGGGTGAGCTGGGAACCACTCGGGGCAAAGCTACTGACATTCACCAGGGAAGCATGTGTGTGTATTCGCCGTGTGTCACGGTGGAGCCTGGCACCTAGCTTAGAGGGGCAGCGCTTCCTCCTGGTGTAGAGGCATCCATGATACAGTGAAAGGGCACTGGGCTCACTGTTGAGAGCTTAAAGAAAGCTTTAAGCTTTCACTGTACCTGGACTTGCTGCGTGACTTCTGGCCACTGAATTATCTTTTCTGAACCTCAGTGTTCACTGCCAAAGTGGATTGAGCCAGCTCTACCAGGCTGTTGGTAGGAGGTGCCTTAGCTGTGGAATCAGCAGTTCTAGGGTGTGGTCTTGCAGTCATTTTGCTGCTCAGCACCAGGCAGGACATCCCCTCTTTCTGGGCATCAGTTTTCCCGTGTGTAAAAGTAGAGCTGGACATAGTGACTTGAAGCACAGTCCAGTTTCCTGATGTTGACTCATGAGAAGGTCAGGCATGCTGCTTCCACCATGCCTCTGGAGGAATGTGTTCAGATTGGCAGTGCCTGGTTCCAGGGCAGATTTTGTGAGGCCTGATTGCTTGTTCTCAGCCATGCTCAAGGCTGTTCCCTCCTTGGAATCAGAGGAATCATGAGGGGAGGGGAACTCACTGTGTCGTTGGGGTATGGTCTCCAGATTGGCCATAGAAAAGGACTCTCCAGAAAGAGGTCCTTGGCAATGACAAAGAGGCCTGCCAGTGCACACAAGAAGCTGATGACGTTTCCTGTCACGCACAGTATCTTCTGCAAGCAGAGGTGAAATGTTAGAGCTTAGTGATCCAACTCAAGGCTCTCCTTCCAGGAATTTGGTCTGTGACACCCTCCCCCCACACCTGGAGACTGGTCCTTCCAAGAGCTGATGCCAGATGCATGAGGCTTATAGGAAAGAAGGGTGCATCATGACACTCTCCCCAAAGGCCATTCTATGTCAGGTAGGCCAACTGTCAGAGTCTAACATCCAGAGGACATCACAGGGAAGGGCAGGAAGAGCATGGAGGTGTCTTGCCTCTTCATACCCCAGGGTCTCCCCTCCTCTCCATCTATCCTGTTGAGCTCCTAAAATAGGCCTCCATCCTGTCACACAGGTCTCTGCCAGGTTTCTTCTGCCTCTGCTGGGTTACCCTCCCCCCCCAAGAAGCTTATACTCCAGAACACACTCTTGGGCTGCTGTGAGGAGATAGCATGGGATGACTCCCCCAGATCAGAGTTGATGGGGATAGAGTGAGCTAAGAGACGGTATAGGCTGGAGAAGGTGTGGAGCTGAGGGGTTATCTAGAAGCAGCCCTAGGACTTGGGGAAGGGATGCAGAGCCAGGAGGTCCTCAGGTTCCTGACTTAGGGGCTGGATGGCTACATAATGAGTAAAGTCAAAACTTGCTAGATTTGCCCTTGCTCCAGTAAATAACACCCACCCATGCTCATGTAGGCAACACTAATTAAAACACAATGGGTCACAAACCCAAAACAAAACAAAAAACAAAGAAAAAATATGAAAGAAGGAAGAGAACTTGAAGGGAGGAAGAAAGGGTTTTGTAGGAGGGGGAAGGCAGAAGAGAGAATAAAATGGTGGGGGGAGATATGATCAAAGTACATAATACAGATGCATGAAATCGTGAAAGGATAAATAAGTAAAAAAGAAGTTTGATAGATTTGGAATGAAGCTGCAATGGTTAGTCTTCATCGTTAACCTGAGTGGATTTGGAATCGCTGAGGAGACACATTTTCGGATGTGTCTGGGAGGGTATTCCAGAGAGGTTTAAATGATGGGGAGAGACCCACCCTAAAGGTGGGTAACACCATTCCACGGGTGGGGAGGGGGTGCCCAGACTGAATAATAAAAAGGAGTCAGATGAGCACCAGCATTCTTCTCTCTGTTTTCTGATCCACTCAGATGTGAGCAAGCAGCCTCCCGCTCCCACCGCCGAGTCCTCCTCATCACAGTGGACTGTACCCTCTTAATCCATAAGTCACGTTCTAACAGGCGCTTTGTCACAGGAAGAGAAGAGCAACTAATAGAGGAGCCGAGGTCTGATCTAGATGGAGGGATGGGTGCCTGGAGTCATGCCTGAGAAGCCAGGAGCTCTGGGGGGGCCCCCCTTCTTCCCTGTCAAATCTAGCCAGTTGTCTGCATCTGGAGCCTCTCAGATGTCCTCTTCCATCCTGAAGAAGTGCTCTTGCTCCTGGCCACTCGTCCTGGTCGTCCCTGTACACAGATGCCCTTGTCTTTCCCCCTAGATTTGAGGGAAAGATCTCAGGGTGCCAGCTCACCATAGAGGTCTTGGGAAATGTCCTTGTTGTCATTGCCAAGATCCCTGAAATGAGAAACTGCAGACCAGGTGTGATGGTCAAAGGAGGGAAGTCGAGGTACTTCAAAACCCACAAAGTCCTCTTCATTCTCCAAGAAATCAAACCCCTGTTGACTGGTGGGGCAGAAAACACCACTTTGTGGACAGGCTCTGCCCTTCAACATGCTTACCCATGGAGGACACAAACCTCTAGACCTCATGTAGATCCATAGCTGGGGTCACAGTAACCATCCCTACCTCAACCTTTCTTCTGCACTTGGGGGGACATTGCTCCTGGATCTGAGGTCTAGGATGTTTTGGATCTATCTTTTGCATATATGCTGAGTCTTTGCTGTGTTCTCATCTCAGGGACCATAGGGTGATGGGCACTTCATGTGTAGAAAGCCCTGTCGCTGTGGTGGGAGTGCCAACCTGGGGCGGTGGGGATGGAGGGAAGCTAGAGATGATGTGAAAACATTTGCCCAAGAGAACACTATGGAGCTGGGGCTAAGTGTGAAGGTGGTTTTCAGGGCCGGACCAGGGACCCTGGAGTCCTGGAGGATCATGGAGCCTCTGGGGAACAGCATGTATGTGTCTCATATTGTCTCTCATCCTGGCTGATGTCCCGAAGGACAGAGTTGTGGATTATAACTGTGTGTGGCTGCAGGAAGAGCCCGATAGGGGTGGAGGGCACTAGGGTTGCTTTGGCTACTAAGGTAGTTTGGATGCTCAGAATCCTTGTGAGCCTAGCTCATAGTGGCTCGTTTCCCTGTCCAACATACATGCTTCAATTAAAGGGGGGTCACGGGGCCCATGAGTGACAGGTGCTCTCTGAAAGGAGCTACGTCTAGTGTGACTGAGGGAATGGGGCAGAGACGGGGAAGGTGGCCATATGCTTTGTGCCTCTAGGCTGCATCCAGCCTCCAATGTAAGGGCCTCCTAAGGGCCCGTGTACCCCTGAATCCACTGATTTGTGCTCCTACTTACAGAGACAGCTCCCCAGAGTGGATACCAGCATTTCAACACCACCAAGTGCAGATTCTTAACTGTGGAGAGCAGGTAACCGCCAAAGGCCAGGTGTGCAAAAGCAATAGCGATGTGAAAGACCTGGGTGGGAAGCCAGAAGTAACCAAAGTGAGGTGGCATCAGTGCCTAGACCTACTGGTGGTAGTGAGTTTCTTTCCCCACCTCTCAGGTGTCCTGGTCATCAAGGAAGGACCCCATCCCCAGGGCCTGTTGTAGTGACAGGTAAGGATGTCAAAACCATACTTGGGGTATCTGTCCTGCCCTGACTCTATAGGGCTGGTATCCTGGGCCCTGTTTACACCCCACAAAGCACCAACCTCTCCTTGCCTTTGCTTGATTTTAGGATGAGTGTAAATGAGGCACCTCCCTCAATTTCCTCCCTGGGGGTCTCCTCCCTACTCACAGTCAGCTTCTGCAGAAGAACACTTCTCTCCAGGGGCTTCTCAAGGTGCCCATTTGGAGCCAGATGCTGGGGCTTGGTCCCTTTCTGCATGGGCTGGGCCACTTTCTGTGCAGGCTGGGCAGGTTCTAGGCCCTGCCATTGAGAGATTTCCCCGGTGCCACTGCTGGAAATCATCATGGGAGCTTGTGCAGTCACTGACTCTGGCAGGGCACCCTGGCTGTGGGCCAAGGAGAAGGCCTTGTCAGAGTTCAGCTTGTGTCTAAGGCTTGGCTGTGACTCTCGATGTCACCTCTGCCCCCTGGATCGTGGAGGCCTTGTCCAGCAGTGTTTGACCTTGGTATGTTTTCAGATGGTAAAGTAAGGCTTTTACTAGGGGTGAGGAAACACACACACATATAACAAGTACACACAGAAAAAGGCCCTGTGCAAAGCCAAGTGGGGACTCAGAAAGTGAAAGCCCATTGACTTTGATTTAAACTGGAATAATCTAGAATCTGGGAATGAGGGCTAGCTGCTGTGCTCAGCCTCTCTGGGATTGCAGGAAATGAAGAGCAGATGAACTTCATGCCCACTATAAGAGAGCGTTGTGTGATATTTTGATCACATTCTGACAGTAAAGTTTGCTTTGAATCAGAGGGCAGAGCTAGCTAGTAGATGATCAAAATTAACCATAGAGGTTTTGGAGGACTGAGGCCAAATAGAGGGACAGGAAGTAGTAGGGTAGGGCTTAGAGAGGGTCTTGACCCCTTTGGATGGAGAAACGAAAGAGATGGGAGGTCACTGGTCACTTCTCCACAGCTCCTCTGATCATTCAGATGCTTTCCCTGATATCTGACTCCCAAGTTTTTAATTGATAAAGAATAATTAGATAAACACTTAAAGAGAGCGCTCCCACTGGCTACCCTGCAGGCTGGTAGGATCTAGGGGTCAGAGGCCTGGCGTTTGTGGGCATTTTGTAAATAGTTTCCATCCTGTGGCTTAGAATGAGACAACTGAAGGTAAACCAAACCATGGTCCTGTGGTGAAGCCCATGTCTTTTGGGTTTGGGGAGATGAGGGAGAGAAGGGAAGTTTGAATAGCAATGGTCCCCGTTGACTCATGTTTGTGAATGCTTGGGCCATAGGGAGTGGCACTATTAGGAGGTGTGGCCTTGCTGGAGGAAGTGTGGGGGTGGGCTTTATGCTCAAGCTATGCCCAGTGTGGCTCACAGTCTTCTGCTGCTACCTGCAGATCAAGATGTAGAACTCTGAGCTACCTCTCCAGCACCATGTCTGCCTGCGTGCTGCCATGTCCAACCATGATGATAATGGACTAAACCTCTGAACTGTTAGCTAGCCCCAATGAAATGTTTTCCTTTTGAGAGTTGCCATGGTCATGGTGTCTCTTCACAGCAATAGGGACCCTCACTAAGACAATGGTCCTCTGGGCACTGGGGATGTGGAGGTGTCCCTACCTGGGCACTTGCTTGTGGGAGCCATGGCAGTGGAAACGGTTCAGATATCCAATAAGAAATCAGACTCAAGAGGACAGAGCATCCCTTCCCAAAGCACATCATATGGAACACTGGTCCTAATGGGCCTGCCTTGAAGGGGTCCATGGTTAAATAAATTTAGAAAACCTAACACATCACTTTCTTCTTACTTTTTCAAGGCTCTGAGGACTCATGCAGGGATGTTCTCTGTTTTAATACTAAGGATATTTTCTACATTTAATTTGTTATAGACTCTTCTTCATAAGAGTCCAGCCATGCTGTGCAATTGATATTCTGTGGGGTTAAATGACAAACTTCCAAACCTCTGGTTCTAGGTTTTTGGGCATCTGTTCCCTCCTGTTGGTATTTTCATGGGTGCATCACAGTGGGGCTGGGGACTGGGGACTGGGCTCGGTTCTCAAGGCTTATTTCAAACTTGAAATTGGAATGGAGAGTTGCTAAGAGGAACTTGGTGTGCTCTTGAGGGGGAGGGGCCGGAGGGGGCAGACCTTAGACAGCAGAGGGGAAGGGTTGTGGGTTATGAAGTCCCTTGCCACTTGCCAAGATGAAAGGTATGTTAGCAGCAGACCGTTGCTCATGGTGACTCCATCCTGCCTGTCTTTTTCCAGTTTTTCATTTTCAGGCTCTAGAATTCACTCTCATTCCAGAGTCATGGTCTTAAGATAAGGGCCTCGCCAGCCGTTAAGAGGTTGTCATCACTGCTCTGTAAAACACAGGCTGCTGACTGAGCCGTGTCCTTAAGATAAGGGCCACACAACTAGGAGATCACTATCACTGTTCTGAAAAACACAGACTTGACGTCCACATGTAGCTCCCAATCTGACCCTCCTTGTGAAATCCCCCACTTCCCTAGACATGAACTTGAGACCTTAGCCTGTCCCCTTTCCCAGGTATCTTAGTCACTGTTCTATTGCTGCAAAAAAGACACCATGACAAAGGTAACTTGTGGTGATATTGTGTTCCCCAATATATTGTGCACCCTAATAAACTTATCTGGGGGTCAGAGAACAGAGCAGCCACAATATTAAACATAGAGGTTAGGCAGTGGTAGCACACACGCCTTTAATCCTAGCATCCGGAGGCAGAGATCCACTTGGATCTCTGTGAGTTCAAAGCCACACTGGAAACAGCCAGGCATGGTGACACATGCCTTTAATCCCAGGAAGTGATGGCAGGAGGCAGAAAGGTATATAAGGCATGAGGACCAGGAAATGGAGTCTTGTTAAGCTTTTAGGCTTCTAGCAGCAGTTCAGCTGAGATCCTTTTGGATGAGGACACAGAGGTTTCCAGTTTGAGGAAACAAGATCAGCTGAGGAACTGGCAAGGTGAGGTTAGCTATGGCTTGTTCTGTTTCTCTGATCTTTCAGCATTCATCCCAATACCTGGCTCTGGGTTTGTTTTATTAATAAGACCTTTTTTAAGATTCATGCTACAGTAACTCTTATAAATGAGAGCATTAATTGGGGGCTTGCTTACAGTTTCAGAGATTATCACATTATCATCATGGCCAGGAGCATGGCAGCATGGTTGGCACACGTGGCACTGGAGAAGTAGCTAAGAGCTGTACATCCTGATCCACAGGCAGAGAGAGAGAGGGGGGGGGGGGGGGGGGGAGAGAGAGAGAGAGAGAGAGAGAGAGAGAGAGAGAGAGAGAGGAGAGACTTGGTCTGGCATGGCCTTTTGAAACCTCAAAGCCCACCCCCAGTGACACAGTTCCTCCAACAGTATCACAACTCCTAATCCTTTCAAATAGCACCACTCCTTGGTGACTGAACATTCAAATACATAGGCCTATGTGGGAACATTCTTATTCAAACCACCGCATTTCACTCCATGGCCACCATAGGCTTATAGCCATATCATAATGCAAAATGCATTTAGTTCAACTTCAAAAGTCCCCTTAGTCTTTCACAGTCTCAACACTGTTTAAAAGTCAAGAGTTCAAAGTCTCTTCTGAGACTCATGGCAATCTCTAAACCATAACCACCTATAAAATCAAAATCAAAATGCAGTTCACATACTTCCAACACACAGTGGCACAGAGTATACATTGCCATTTCAGAAGGGAGGAAAGGGAGCACAGTGAGGAAATACTGGACCAAAACAAGACTGAAAACTAGCAGGGCAAACTCCAAACTCTGCATCATCTTCATGTCTGATAACAAAGCACATTTCAGATCTCCCAACTCCTTTCAGCTTTGTTGACTACAACATAGTTCTCTCTCTTGGGCTGGTTCTATACCCAGTCTGTGGCACAGCCATATCTGATGGGAATGGCAAAAGTCAAAGGCCAGCTCAGCTGCTTGACAAAGATCCAGCAAAGCTGAGCCACATGATGGCCGCTGTGCCACCTTTGGTTTTTATCTCCACCTATTGCATACTTGGGGGACTTTTAATATCTGTACAATTTGAGGATATTGGATTGATGGGAAATTTCTTATGAATCATTTATGCCTTCTCCCTGGAGTATTGCTTCTAAGCTTCCCCAGGAAAGTCCTGAACATACCACCCCTCCCACTTTTAGGGAGATATCCTTATCTTCTGGAAGATCTTCCTTATGCCTTGGAGGTTGTGACACATAAAGAAGCCAGAGGTAGAGGTTGGGGATTTAGCTCAGTGGTAGAGTGGCAAGGCCCTGGGTTTGGTCCTCAGCTTGGGGAGGGAGGGGAGAGGGAAAAAGAAAGAAAAAAAAAAGAAGTCAGAGATCTCTTTATGAGGCTATGAGACATTCTTGAAACATCTGTCCCTGTATTTACTCAGGAACAAGATAATCAAAACAAAGTAAACTTAATAAGGTTAACAAGATTCTGTGGGCTAGAGGAGTTGGCCACAGATCAGATTGCAAGCCTCTTCCCACTATATACTCAGGCAATTACATGGCATATACAGCAACAAAGTTAGATTAGCTGAAGTTACCTCTGCCCTATACAGAGACTTATATTTTGGGCAAAGAATGATGTAAAAGATGATATAAGAATGAGACGTCAGGACCTCCCTTTCTTAGAAAAATTAGCACAAGCAGAGCCACTGTGGTGTCATATGACCAAGAACAATAGATTGTCAGTATTAGACATATAAACAAATTCTGTAAAGATATAAAATGTAAACATTGTATTATGCCAGAATTTAAGTAATAACTGCAGCAGCTTTGGCCTGAGGACTTTTCTTGGACACCCTGGCCATTAAGAGTTAATAATACACTGCTTGGGACATGGCAATATGTTGCACGAATCCTAAATGGTCTTATTATAAAAACCCAGAGCCAGATATTGGGGTAAATGCTGAAAGATCAGAGGGAACAAACCACAGCCACTTCTCACCTCGCCGACTCCTCAGTGAAAAAGAGAAGACCCTGTCTCCATGAATCCTCAGACTCATTTTGGCTGAGGAGTTGGTGAGGTGAGAAGTGGCTGTGGCTTGTTTCCTCTGATCTTTCAGCATTTACCCTAATACCTTGCTCCAGGTTTTTATAATAAGACCATTTAGGATTCGTGCAACAAACTGGCATCCAACTTTTGGGGCATGAATTCATGAAAAAGCTGCTTGCCTGTGGCTTTGCAGCCATTGGCTCAGGCCAGATCTGGCTGCATGTAACCAGAGTCTCCACCCCACCTGGCACAAGGTCCCTACCCTGCAAGCCTAGGCCCAGGCTTAGGCCCAGGCCCAGGCTCAGGACTAGGCTCAGGCTCAGGCCCAGGCTCAGGCTCAGGCCCAGGCCCAGGCCT